TATACGTTTTGCATCTAAGTGCAAAGTGGGCGAAACGTATCGTATTAAATATATCTTAAGTTCCACGTGTTTTATTTACATATCAATTTCATACCTTTTGAAACTTAGGAGTTAAGACTTATTTCATGTGAAGACTTCAGTGAAAAAGATAAACACAAAGTATATACTATATCCTTGAATGGCATACAGTGAGGGAGGCACTTATGACTGAAAGCATTACAGTCATGAACAAGAAGACTGCTGATAACGTATAAGAACTTTTTAACAATGACATATTAGAATCAGATTTTAATACATCACTTTTCGCAACAGGTGTAGATGTGTGGAACAAACTACAGTGTAGAGCCATTGAAGAATAGACTTTGCATAACTTACTTTTGAAGTCTCATCAAACAAGGGAAAAATTTATGAGTAGGACCTGCCTCACATGGGTCAACTATCCTCTTAGTGCTCATTATTTAGGTCTCCCATTTCCTCTTTCTTCCCACTCGTGATATACATGTATTTCCTTTCGCATCACCCCTACGAACTGTCAAACCATGGAATCAGAGTAAATGTTTAGAGACTATTATAATTCCTACCCTCCTACCCTCCCAAATAATTAAAACAAATGGGGTTAAAGGGTTATTGAATGTTAAGATTACGTGAAAGAATAGATGCATTAAGGTAAGGTAAGAGGTTATGCCCTCCTGGACCGCACACGGAGCTCAGGTGATGCTAGCAACCTGATTGTGGAGGGGAAGAGGGATTAGTCCCAGCAAGATCCGGATTACCTAACCAGGTGTCCGGATTAGCAGCGAGAAAAAAGAGGGACGGCGCCCATTGTTGGTTAAACCGGTTTTTTCTTTCCCTTGATACGGACGTGAAAGGAGAGCGAGGGTAAAGAATGAAGATGCAAAGAGATTCGTGGGAAAGTGTGCGTATATTATGAATAAACGAGTGCTTGTCTAATTATCTACGTAGAATATCAAATTAGTGCTAGAGGAATTCAATTTCCTGTGGTTGTCTGGTATAGTCTTTCCATTTTGTAGCCATCTGAACAAATGCTGATCACAAAAGTGTTCAAATGGGGCTCTTTAGTAATTATATCTAATCCTTTGCAAGCAAGGAGGTTTTAGAGTGGGTAGGAGATGTGTAGATCAAGTGTTTACACTGAAGCTTATATGTGAACAGTATTTGGATAAAGGTAGGGAAGTTTCCATTGCATTTATGGATTTAGAAAAGGCATATGATAGAGTGGATAGAAGAGCAGTGTGGCAGATGTTGAAAGTATGTGGAATAGATAGCAAGTTAATAAATGCCGTAGAGTTTTTATGAGGTTAGTGAGGCTCAGGTTAGGGTGTGTAGAAGAGAGGGAGGCTACTTCCCGGTAAAAGTAGGTCTTAGACAGGGATGTGTAATGTCACCATGGTTGTTTAATATATTTATAAATGGGGATGTAAAAGAAGTAAATGCTAGGGTGTTTGGGAGAGGGGTGGGATTAAATTATGAGGAGTCAAATACAAAATGGGAATTGACACTTACTTCTTGCTGATGATACTGTGCTTTTGGGAGATTCTAAAGAAAAGTTGCAAAGGTTAGTGGACGAGTTTGGGAGTGTGTGTAAAGGTAGAAAGTTGAAAGTTAACATAGAAAAAGAGTAAGGTGATAAGGGCTTCAAATGATTTAAAGAAAAATTGGATATCAAATTGGGGAGGAGTAGTATGGAAGAAGTGAATGTTTTCAGATATTTGGGAGATGACGTGTCAGCGGATGGATGTATGTATGAAGGATGAGGTTAACCATAGAATTGATGAAGGAAAAAAGGCGAGTGGTGCATTGAGGTATATGTGGTGAAAAAAAAACTATGGAGGCAAAGAAGGGAATGTATGAAAGTATAGGGGTACCAACACTCCTATATGGGCATGAAGCTTGGGTTGTAAATGCTGCAGCGAGGAGACGGTGGAGATGTCCTGTCTAAGGGCAGTGTGTGGTGTAAATATTATGAAGAGAATTCGGAGTGTGGAAATTAGGAGGTGTGGAGTTAATAAAAATATTAGTCAGAGGGCTGAAGAGGGGTTGAGGTGGTTTGGTCATTTAGAGAGAATAGATCAAAGTAGAATGACATGGAGAGCGTTTAAATCTGTAGGGGGAAGGAAGGCGGGGTAGGGGTCGTCCTCGAAAAGGTTGGAGCGAGAGGGGTAAAGGAGGTTTTGTGGGCGAGGGGCTTGGACTTCCAGCAAGCGTGCGTCAGCGTGTTAGAGTGAATGGAGACTAATGGTATTTTGGACCTGACGAGCTGTTGGAGTGTGAACAGGGTAATATTTAGTGAAGGGATTGAAGGAAACCGGTTATTTTTATATAGCCGGACTTGAGTCATGGAAATGGGAAGTACAATGCCTGCACTTTAAAGGAGGAGTTTGGGATATTGGCAGTTTGGAGGGATATGTTATTCATTTTTATACACGCTTCTAAATTGTTGTGTCTGGGCACCTCTGCAAAAACAGTGATTATGTATGAGTGAGGTGAAAGTGTTGAATGATAAAAGTATTCTCTTTTTGGGTCATCCTGCCTCGGTGGAAGATGGCCAACTTGTTATATCTCTCTCTCTCTCTCTCTCTCTCACAGAGAGAGAGAGAGAGAGAGAGAGAGAGAGAGAGAGAGAGAGAGAGAGAGAGAGAGAGAGAGAGAGAGAGAGAGAGATATCACAGTAAACAGGTGATTTTAAAATATGCAAAACAACCACTGTGAAAGAATAGTGAAATTCCAAGCGCTTTCGTGACTACTCACATTGTCAAGGAATAATGAAAGCGCTTGGAATTTCACTACTCTTTCACAGTGGTTGTTTTGCATGCATATATATTATATATATATATATATATATATATATATATATATATATATAGTGCCGAATAGATAAAACTAGTCAATTCGCAAGAACTCGTTTAAAATTAAGTTCTTTCTAAAATTCTCTTTTACGCCTAAAGACATCTTTTTCATTTATGATAATGTAAGAATTAATTTTTACCAAAAAGAACCTTAGAAAACTTTCCTAACCTTATTATAAACTCAGTTTAATTTAGCCTAATCCAACTAAATATATTTTAGACAAGTTTACAATAATTTAATAATAAACAATGAAATGTATCTTTTCCGTTAGGTTCAGATTGATTTTTGCGAAATATTGCATACACAAATTTTCACTTACCTTATTCGGCAAGAGCGTTAAGCCAAAATTGCAAGTTTTACCTATTCGGCACATTAATAAACATACACGTAAAATATATTATATACGTGTATTTATTTATATATATATATATATATATATTATATATATATATATATATATATATATAATATATATAATTTTTATATTGCGATCTTGGCTTAAATAGCAACGCTCATCTTGCCATATAGGACAAGCGAAAATTTGTGTATGTAGTAATTTCACCAAAATCATTCTGAACCTAACGAAAAAAATATATTTCACTGTTTAGTATTAAATTATTGTAAACAAATCTAAAATATATTTAGTTGGGTTAGGCTAAAATAAATAGTTTGTTATAATAAGGTTAGGCAAGTTTTCTAAGATTCTTTTGGTGCAAAATTATAAATGTTTACTTCAACATTAATGAAAAAAATATATCTTTAAACGTATAAGAGAAAATTTCAGAAAGGACTTAATTTTAAACGAGTTCTTGCTAATTGACCAGTTTTACATATTCGGCACGACATATATTATATTATATATATATATATATATATATATATATATATATATATATATATATATATATATAATATATAATAACATAAATGTATGACACGCGAGCATTGTCGGACATGAATTGTGTTCATTAATGTACACAATATTCCTTTCACAAAAATATCACATATTACGGTTACATTTGTCACTAATGTTAACTGTAGTAGAAGGCTAAAAAGAAAAATATGCAGAACATATTCTTTAATCTTTACTTTCATTCATTGTTCTATGGCTCGTCAGTACTGCCATGGGTAGTGTATGCACAACCAATTCTTTCGCCACGTGTAATTCTTTACCAACTTATGTTCATTTTGTGCCCTGCGAAGAACCCCATGGGTGAACTGCTGTTCCTGTTCACTTAGCAGTAAGTAGGTACCTGGGTGTTAGTCGACTGGTTTGGGTCGCATCCTGAAGGAAAAGATTAAGGATCGCACTGGAAATGAAACATTTCTCTATGACGCACCGACTGTGTTATCCTGAGTAGCTAACCCTCTGGGTTAAAAAATCGAAATTTTTTTATTACAAATAAATAAACCTGTACAGGAAAAACTATAGTGCAAGGAAATCAAAATTTGTTAGCAACTCAGAAAATCGGGAACTTGCCAAAGGTTAATAATGGTAAAATTAAAATTGAATTAGGAAAAAAAAAAAAACTGGCAAACTACGCCAAAACAATAAACACAAGACTAAAATCGTCCGAGGCAACACTGAAGACAAAAATGAAACTAGAGACAAAAGAACGCCACTAGGTAATGTGCTGTGACACCCTCTTCCACATCCGTCATACAACCACCTGCACATATCACCCACATAATAACTGTTTCCGTTATTATAACTATTTCCCCACCGGTACGCGACCTGTAGCTAAAGGTTATAGTACTCAGCTCACACCTAAAGGGTAAACTACTATAATTTCCAGCCCAAGCCAGACGTATGGGCAAGTCTACCCGCTGCCTTTGACTATACAGTAAACTGTTTCTCGAGTGTTAATATACTGACGTGGGTCGTATTCTCGTGGGTGGTAGTGCACCTTAAATACAGGTGGTGTTTGAAACTGAGGCAACATAACAGCCTTTAAAATTCAACTATTTATATATATAAATATTTTAATTTTAATTTCAATTTATATATATATATATATATATATATATTATATATATATATAATTTGTTAATGACACTATGTCGCCATTACACTGCCTGTCAGAAAAGCACAACTTTTATGACCTTATCTAACAACACCAGTTAATGACCAAGAAAGCTGACGGTCCACATCCCCAGCACGAACTAGCAGTGAGCCCGCGCGTTTGTTTCAGCTGCTGGGGACGAGGGGTAACAGCCGAGAACATACGGGCCTTTTGGAATGCAGATATTCCCCGCCATACACCGATCCAGTAATATGCTCTAAGTGTTTACTTTTTGGTTCTTTACAAGTTAACCGCATTTGATAGTTTTAAGCTGTAGTGGTAAAATAGTTTAGTAGTTTATATATATTTTTGTGAGGAATTAAAAGTGTACATTATTTTGTGATTGAGGTATTTTTAGTGTGCAAATTGGAACTTTTGGACGTTTATAAACATTAAAAAAGACCATTTTTTAAATATTGTGGACACAAGCATATGGGACCAAGGTCGAACTGGGACCTAACTTGTTTGGGGTGTTAGTACTTGTCAAGAGCACTTGTTGATAGCCACCTGGCGTTGTGCGAGCCCGACCCCTCCCCCCCCCCCCGGGACGTCGTTGGTCCCTACTAGGTCCACTGTCTGCTCCAAGAGCTTTACCGTGCCTCTTTTTAAAGGTATGTATGGATCCTGCCTTTACTATGCTCTCCATATAGTTCCAGTGACGGAGTATGTTTTCGGCCTCGTCGTCCTCAATCTGGAATAAATTGTTGCTGTTAGCGGCGATTTCAATGCGTGTTCATTTTTCCTCATTCATACAACCAATCACAGGAGCTCTGCATGTAGTCAAGTGTTATCAGTCTACAATTCTCACACTAAAGAAAAAATTACTAGCTTACTCGCACCAAATTTTATTTTAAAGTTATTAAGCTAGCGTCTAAACGAAAAAAATGTTTGATTAAGAATAAAATCTGACAGGCCGAAGACTTGAGCAATAGTTATGACTGAGTAACGATGACAACCCATCCATAATGTAAGATCCAAATCACATTAAATAATCCTAAGTAATCAGGACCCTCTGGCTCCAATCACCCTGGACCCCCCCCCCATCCCAGGTCTAAGTTACCCGGCACTTCGGGCAATAATTCTGTGTAATTCAGAGTGGCAGCAGTAATGGCGGGCTGAAGCCTCGGGTTGTGGGTTGAGCGGAAGCTCTCCACCACCTGCTTGTTATCCCGTCCATCAGGGCACGTCATGGCTGCTGGCGATCACGTGTAGGCGGTAGATACTGTGCTAGTGATATGTAGTGTGCAGGCAATAGATTTATATACTGGTGGCATGCTGATTGTAGATGTGTAGGTGGCGTGCAGATGTTAGATGTGTAGGTGGTAAGAAAGAGGAAGAGGGCGTAATGCCAGATAGCAGGGTGCACGAGGACGTGTAGCGTGAGGATGTAAACAAGCAAGAAGGGGATACTGCGGGAAGATAGAGGAAGAGGATACAAGATTGTCAGGGAAGGTTCAGTTGGCAAGGACTGGGGGACAACTTGACATTACTGTACAATGAAGTCTTCAGCAGTTGGTAAGCAAGAGTAGGGGCATGTGATAGGAGGATGGTTGCTGTCCTGCTAAGTCAGTCAAATTGTTGACTGTTCACGAGGCATAATAGTACTTGCCAAGTGCATTCCTTTGGTCCCCATTCTGTTTGCTTGGGTGAGGGGTGGGAGCGTGAAGATAATTGGCGGGATGAAAGAGTAAAATTTGGCATGGACCGCTAACGTTTCGAAAAATGGGCATCCACAAACTCCGGACTCTAGCCCCAACAGCACTTCGCCACGCAGGTACGTACTTACGCTTGTTCGCTCGTAGGCAAAGAATGAGGGGGAAAATTGTTTCAAATAACGATTAGTTATTTGTATGGAAGAGGGTAAGGTACCTAGGGATTGGCAGAGAGCATGCATAGTTCCTTTGTATAAAGACAAAGGGGACAAAAGAGTGCAAAAATTATAGGGGGATAAGTCTGTTGAGTATACCTGGTAAAGTGTATGGTAGAGTTATTATTGAAAGAATTAAGAGTAAGACAGAATAGGATAGCAGATGAACAAGGAGGCTTTAGGAAAGGAAGGGGGTGTGTGGACCAGGTGTTTACAGTGAAACAATTGAACAGTATTTAGATAAGGCTAAAGAGGTTTTTGTGGCATTTATGGATTTGGAAAAGGCGTATGACAGGGTGGATAGGGGGGCAATGTGGCAAATGTTGCAGGTGTATGGTGTAGGTGGTAGGTTACTGAAAGCAGTGAAGAGTTTTTACGAGGATAGTGAGGCTCAAGTTAGAGTATGTAGGAAAGAGGGAGACTATTTCCCAGTAAAAGTAGGCCTTCGACAAGGATGTGTGATGTCACCGTGGTTGTTTAATATATTTATAGATGCGGCTGTAAGAGAAGTAAATGCGAGGGTCTTGGCAAGAGGCGTGGAGTTAAAAGATAAAGAATCGCACAAAGTGGGAGTTGTCACAGTTGCTCTTTGCTGATGACACTATTCTTGGGAGATTCTGAAGAGAAGTTGCAGAGGTTGGTGGATGAATTTGGTAGGGTATGCATAAGTGTCTCAATTCTTCAACTTGTCGGTTTTCAAAACCATTCATCACATCTGTCAGACACTGCAACATCATGGGATCTTGGTACAAAGACTTCAACGCTTGCCCAACCTTTGGACGACGACCTACTTACAATAGTGGCAGGTCCCACTGTGATCCCGCCGCCTCCTGCTTCAACTCATCTCACGGCAGTATATAAGCCACCTCTCTGGCCCTATGCTGCACTTACTACAAGAGTGATGGACTGAACACATCGATTCCAGGTTGAGGGACTGATTACCTCATACTTCAACTCTCCTTACCCATTTCTACTTTGTATTGGACTGATTAAGCCACTGTGTGGCGAAACGTTTCTTCAATAAAGATTCCCATATGTTGCATAAGTGTCAATTCTTCAAGAAAATTAAAAGTGAATACAGGAAAGAGTAAGGTTATGAGGAAAACAAAAAAATTAGGTGATGAAAGATTGGATATCAGATTGGAGGGAGAGAGTATGGAGGAGGTGAATGTATTCAGATATTTGGGAGTGGACGTGTCAGCGGATGGGTCTATGAAAGATGAGGTGAATCATAGAATTGATGAGGGGAAAAGGGTGAGTGGTGCACTTAGGAGTCTGTGGAGACAAAGAACTTTGTCCTTGGAAGCAAAGAGGGGAATGTATGAGAGTATAGTTTTACCAACGCTCTTATATGGGTGTGAAGCATGGGTGATGAATGTTGCAGCGAGGAGAAGGCTGGAGGCAGTGGAGATGTCATGTCTGAGGGCAATGTGTGGTGTGAATATAATGCAGAGAATTCGTAGTTTGGAAGTTAGGAGGTGCGGGATTACCAAAACTGTTGTCCAGAGGGTTGAGGAAGGGTTGTTGAGGTGGTTCGGACATGTAGAGAGAATGGAGCGAAACAGAATGACTTCAAGAGTGTATCAGTCTGTAGTGGAAGGAAGGAGGGGTAGGGGTCTGCCTAGGAAAGGTTGGAGGGAGGGGGTCAAGGAGGTTTTGTGTGCGATGGGCTTGGACTTCCAGCAGGCATGCGTGAGCGTGTTAGGAGTGAATGGAGACAAATGGTTTTTAATACTTTACGTGCTGTTGGAGTGTGAGCAAAGTAACATTTATGAAGGGGTTCAGGGAAACCGGCAGGCCGGATTTGAGTCCTGGAGATGGGAAGTACAGTGCCTGCACTCTGAAGGAGGGGTGTTAATGTTGCAGTTTAAAAACTGTAGTGTAAAGCACCCTTCTGGCAAGACAGTGATGGAGTGAATGATGGTGAAAGTTTTTCTTTTTCGGGCCACCCTGCCTTGGTGGGAATCGACCAGTGTGATAATAAAATAAAATAAAAAATTATTAGTTCTCATATTCGTTTGCATGTTATTTAGAAAACGAGTTATGGTAGCTGCCAGCATATATGTGGAATAGTCACAGGTGTGGGAAGGTCAGGCAACCCTTTAAACAGTGGTTTTTTGACATTTTTGTAGTGCTCACGGTGGGTCCCCGTTTTCTGTGCGAGCGTCAATACGTTATATACTGTACATTACAGTTCGTTTGTTGGCGTTGTTATAAGTGGTTAATTTGTAATGGAGGACAGTCTAACCTAACTAACGTAAATCTAGAAATTTTCTGAAAACACTGAGAAATCCCCACAGTTGCGAGAATGGGACGTCAGGTTTTTAAGAGTTGATAATCAACCTAGAAAATTAAATATTCATCACGGAGCTAATAAATGCACAATGCACGTTAATTAACTAAGCAGTTTATTCTTAGATCAATACGAAAACTAGTAGAAAAACTCCTCGTAGAAACTTTTAAATACATGGTATTTAGGACAAATCATGAACTCAGACATTGCATTATACACCATATCAGTAGTTAAAAGTTAAAACCTATTTCAGTATTTCATGTAAACTGGTTGATGTGCGCAATGTGATCTTGAAATGTTATAATACTGATAGCCTCCTCGAATTTTAAAATAAGACTGTTTGAATATACAGTAATTCGTGACTGGAAAAAGATACTTCTGAACACGAATTCATATTTTTAAAACCAAAAATGCCATTTTTAGAGTTATCTCCTTGATGTAATGTTTCAATCTCTGGATTACTAATTTCGTCTGGTGACAATAACGTGGCCGTCTTGGAATCTTACAATACTGGTAACCACACCCTGTGCCTTCTCTTAAAATGTAAGTGCCCGCGAGTGTTATAGTTCATTATTTCTTTTAGTTTAAAGACAAGTGTTCCGCGAAAGCAAGATATTTAGATTTTTTAATAAACATCGCTAATAAATTGTACGATCCATCAACAAATGCAATAAGCGCGCAACAATCCCTCATGATAATTAAGAATCACAAACCAAGCACCATAATGACGTTATGACCATTAAAAACGCTACAACCCGTTTCAGTTCTTACAGCATCCATAAGGCTCCACAACCTTCACACCCCATTACGGTAAACATGAGCCACTTAGGAACAATGACAAACATTACACTCAACTAAGCGTGAGTGACTAGTTTAACCAGTTACTGCGTAACTACGTGGATGAGGTCATACAACTATCATCTAAGTACTCGAGATGAAATGTATATGCGGCTGCTAACTGCTATTTAGTGTCTAGGAATTATTAATAAATCAGTAGGAGGAAGCATAACGTTGACAGTGCTGAACACGAAATATACGACATGAAAA